ATTGTGTTATTAAGGAAGAAAAAGAGAGATATAAAAAATACGATAATGAATTAATTAATAAATTAATATTTGTAAATAATATCTAACCAAGGCCAATGGTAGATAATGAAATGAAGAAAAAATAAAGAGAAGTGAAATAGGACCAGCGTGTTTCCCAGAGGCAAAATAAACCCGCACATATACATATCCAAGCAATGCAAATAAATAATGCAAGCCAAACTGGTATTGTTCTAAAATGAAATGAATTAATTTTTTTTTTAAAAAAAAAATTGATTTAAAAGAAAATAAGAAATTGGTAAATTAAAATGACTAAAATGAGATTTTTGAGAAAAAAAAATGGTCAATTTTATTTTCAGTTTTTACTTTTTGTTTTCCCATTACAACATTTCATTTTTTTTTAAAATCTATTTTCGAGTAAAAGTAACTTTGAAAAAAATAAATAAAAAAAACTCTGAAATTAAGTTGCTATTTTATGGTATATTAAGAGTAGTTTTAGTTTAATATTATAAATAAATAATTTCAAAATAAAAAAATCATTCAAACCTGCTTTCAACTTTTTCATCATCATCTACTGCTTCAGTTGTTTCGGATGGTGGATTATTAAGTAATCGATGATTTGACTCTATATTACCTTCCTCAACATTTAGGATATTCCTGTAAAACATTCATTACTTTTTTTTTTAAAATTAAAATAATAACATTATTCAAACTCTGATTTTGTTTAATGATTAATCTAAAAATTGATAATTAACTATATTTTATTAGCCCAAAATTAAAGGATCGAATGATGTTAGCAGCTTACCGTATGTACTTCCACCTGCAATCCCGCAATTTTTGTTGTTGTTTGGCTATTGCAATGCGTTGCCCTTTCGTATAACCTTTAATAAACTCTCGATACCTGTGAAAAAATTTCTCAGGTAAACAAAAATATTTCGCTTCTTCATTTTATACCAAAAAAAAAAAATTTCATTCATTATTCCATATTTTTTGCAATAATTTTATCATTATGTAATTTAAATAATATTAAATGGAAAATTTTCAAAACAAAAATTATAAAGAACAAAATTCGTTTGGTTAAACCCTTTATTAAAAGTATTTTAAATCAAATTTGTTTTTTTTTCAAAATTTCATTATTCATTTATTATGTAATTTAATGCATTTTTTCTTTTTGCTTCTAAAATTACAGATCTCTGTTTACACTAAACAGAACAAAAAATGATGTTTGGAAAGTTACAAATTTTTTTGCAAAATTATTGAAAACTTCCCCTCCTAGAAATCATTTGCTGTTTTTCTTACATTTTTCTTCTGCTGCTAATTACTCATAAAATTCAATCATAAAACGACAACTTGCTGTAATTTTACTCGTATGTTGTTTGCTACTGATTTGATTTATTAATGATCACTCATAAACGATCACCTCATCAAATGATGTAATTTAATTTCACATAAAATTTGTAACAAATAAATTAGCAGCAGCAAATTTATTTATTTAGTTTGCTTGAATTAGTGGAAAACAGAAAAACAATACGTTATCAGATTTTATCTATTTCAAATTTATAATATTAATATTATCAAATATCAAATAACAACCTGATCATCTCTTCTTTCTTTTTTAAATAAATGAAATTTGATTCAAAGCAAAAAAAAAAATTTTTTTTTTTAGATCTTTTTTCAGTTATCGTTAATTATTATGTGTATTATTTGGTGAATGGTAAAAGTGAAATAATTGAACTTTTGTTTTTTCGAATAGAAAATTTTTGATGAATTGCATGAAATAAAATAATGTTTTATGAGTTAAATTAACATCAACAAGTGCATAAATCTATTAGATGACTAATTAATACAGTGTAAAAAGTAATTTAATGCAAAAATATTTTCAACATATTACCTCATCCAAACATCGCTAACAAAAGTGGTAAGTGTTTTACCAAATTGGCTTAATATAGCCAATACAAGAGGTATACCAAAAATTGCATATACAATA